GATTTGATTTTTACTTCCAAAACTATTAGTGGTGTTATTGATTGTCCTGAAATTTTTAATAAATTTAATATGTGCGTTCCCTTTCGTTATCTGCGTTGTGCTCGTAAGATTACTGCCTTGATACGGAAGAAGGCGGCTAAGCCACAAAAGTGTTTCGAGAAAAATTGAAAAAAGCGCGAAATTGGTTTTCTTGATAGATATCACCAAAAAAATAATATTTCAACTATTGGAATCCATGTAGGTTGGTAGGGTAGGTAGTTAAATGTACATCAATCTCACGGAACCGCTTTTTTGGTTAGCATTAGCATAGGTATATTTTTGTTATGTAAGTTTGAAAAGTTGCTAAGTGTAAAATAAAATGTGCTTTACTTTAAAGAATATCAAAACTTTATTCATGCTTAGCACAAACAATTATAAGGAAAAACAAGGGATCGTTTTTTATTCTTAAATAACCTCTTTTTAGGGTTCCGTAGTCAACTATAAGGGTTCTACCCTTATTCCCTGTCTTCCTCTTCTCCTCGCTTAATCTCTTGACCGTTAGACCTGGTACCAATGTGTATATCAATCACGCCGACAAAGTGGTAAAACAAAAATTTGGAAAAAAATGTTTTATTAGGGTAGCCCCCCTATATGTAAAGTGGGAAGTGATTTTTTTTTTAATATCAACCCTTACGTGTGATATATTGTTGGAAATGTATTTAAAAATGAATAGGGGTTTACTAAAATCACTTTTTGATAATGTCAATAATTTCAGAAATAATCGCTCCAAAAGTAAAAAACAATGTGTCCCCCCCCCCCTCTAACTTTTGAACCATAAGTTTAGAAAATATGAAAAAAATCTGAAAGATAGAACTTTATAAGGACTTTCTAGGAAAATCATTTTCAACCTGGATGGAAACAGTTTTTGTACAAAAAAGACAAAAATTTGTACAAAATAATTTCTGGACTAAGTTTGTAGTATAATCGTTTAAGCAAGCATTTTTTTTTAACTTCGTTTACATATTTTATTATCCTGATCGTATCTTTTTTTCAAACAAAAAAAAGAATTATTAAAATCGGTTCTCGCAATCCAAAATTACCACCGAAAACTTCTGGCACGTCTATGTATTAATTAGTAACCCAATTCCCCGAGAGATGGCGCTGTAGGTACTTATTACATTGGGTCGGGTATTATCGAATTGTTCGGTTGGTCTCTCCTTGGCATCGCCTGCCGCGGAGCGTGCAATGTTGCACGCTCCATGTTCGCGCACGTACCCACTACCGGGAGCAGTTGCAGGAGCGCGGAGCGCTGCTGGAGCGCGAACATAATGGATACCCACCTTTAAACTCATAAGTGGGAACACTTATTGTGACGGACGGGAAACTACGGAACCCTACACTGAGCGTGGCCCGACACGCTTTTGGCCGGTTTTATTTATTTTGAACTGTGATTTTCTGCTCTACTAAACCAATTTCAATTATAATTCTTCATCTTCTGCTAAATCCGATCTGACGAATCTGATTTATTTACTGATTTTTTTTATCATGGAAATTGGTAGGTGGCATAAAATATAATATCGACTGATTGTCGTCTTCTTCGGAATTAGAACTGTTTTGCGGCATCTCCACGGACGGTACATAGTCCATTCTTTTACAGAATCATCTGGGTCAAAATCTTCACCGCTTTATTCTTAATAATGGCGCTCTTCTACTGGTACTGGAAGACGTACTGTAGATGGCAAGGAGTAACTAATTTTACAGACTTTTACTTATAGATAAACATAGACTTCTTTTAATTGGGAGCTATTCGGCGGCATGTTTACTGAATTCAAAGCTTCACCGGAGTTGAAATCTTTATCGGCTAATTCAATGTAACGATGCTCTTTGGCATATTGGAGTTATTCTGGGACATGTTCATCGGTGGCAGACAGTTTTTATCTATAGTGATCAATTCTTAAAAATATAAAATTAGAATAAAATGAATTTATTTCAGAATTTTGGTCCATAAAAGTGTTAGTACAAAATATGAATTTACAAATTATGTTTGTAAAACAGAATAAAAACAACACTAAAACATTAATTTAAATATTTTCCGGGCTAGTTTGTGGCATTTGGTATACATGCATATCCAGTGTCTCCATGTATTTATACCCAGTCTCCTTAACTGGACAGTCTGGTTTACCACTAATAAAGTTTCCGAATAGTATTGGAGCTCCCTCGCACTCTGCACATAAGAGACGTGAAACGTTGGCGTGGTACTACATCAGTTAGGTGAATTCACTGTGTATCTTTATTTTGGTGCGATGAGATATCAAGTTTGAACATCCCGCTTAACTTTTGGAGTTGATAAAATTTTGTAAATTGATTCAGAACCACTTATGAGATCCATAGAGTTCGACCAAGACCAAAGTGAATCAATTATTAAAGAACGGGGAGCCAGTCGTGTCCAATGGGCACATTGGACTGATTAAATTTAAATGGTTTACAGTCATCTGTTGTCTCTTCTCTCGCCACGCTCACTAACTTCTTACCTTTGATAAATCAAGGTATTATTCAAAGTAAAAAATATATAAATACACAAGAAATGTAACAAGGGAGAGGTAAGTCCGTTACGTTTGGAACCGATTTAATATTAAATTAGGAAAAATATTAGTTTATGAATTTGGTGTAATGGTAATCCTCACTTATGCACCATTGATCAGATCACCATATTGTCAGACCGTTTTGCTTGGCATCCGAGCAGCAGTAGTAGCAGCGCACGCTACCTCCAAATCGAATTCAACACTCCTCGGCCGTAGCGTAATTTAAAATTATTTTGTTATGAATATAACGCTCTTTTTGACATATTAGAATGGATTTTGAATAAAATGTGCTATTATTGACTACTTTTTAAGTACTAACTAAATCAGGGTTTTAAGATGTAAAAATAGCTAAAATTTTAATTTTAATTTAGGTCAGGTAGGTTAGGGTTTAATCAATCGTTTGTCATATGTTGAATGAATGAATATACTTTTATTGTACACCACAAACAAATATACAGATAACAAAACACAAAAAAGATTATAATATTATGCAACTACAATTTGGCGGCCTTATCGCTACATAGCGATCTCTTCCAGGCAACCAAAATATGTTATAAAATATGGGCACCATCATCTGCTTGGGATTCTATAATTAAAGAAACTAAATCCCAATCCAAGCATACAACTGCAAGACTTCAAGATATTATAAGTTCATACGATCGGAACAAAAATGAATGATTTTAATCTGGTGGTTAACCATAACATCGGGACGTCGAACACCTTATTCCCCCGTGACCATGGGTGCTGTTAAGTGCTCCAACCGTCGGGAATATAAAAAAGTTAATATAGACGACAAAATCCGTAAAAACTATGATTAAAACTACTCGTACTTTTACGGATTTTATCGCGTTTATTTTTACTTTTTATTTTTAATTCCCGACGTTTCGGGCGCTTTCCAGCACCCATGGTCACGGGGGACTGAGATGACTGACGTCCCGATGTCATTGTTAAACCCGGAGTACCTTCAGCTTTTTTAATTATTGTTTATGGTCCGATCTATGCAAAATGAACTGACTATGTACTGAGGTCTTGCAGTGGTATGCTAGGCCGTAAAAACTAGTTAATAATAATAGTAAAAATAAACAGAACTATTTTATTTACTTTAAATTCTATTAAATTTCTTTTGCAGTTTAATGGGAAAATTGAGTCTTAATGTCCTTTTCATCAGAAAAGACACATTTTTTTGGATAACTACATATTATACAGTTTTCTAAATCAAAACCCAAACCAAAGAATATACCTATGGCGCACTCGGACAAGAGATCTGATCATACTTTTTTTAACTCTTAAAACTTGCTGATCTAATTCTTCACGTACTCACCGATTGAAAAACTTACACTTAGACGCTTTTTAGAGTAGCACATTCACTTTGAAAACTGCTGGTTAAATATTGTTCCAAATATAATTCAAAGGTTCATCATACACTAAAAAGCAGTGAATGCTTTTTTGGGAAGTACGTGACTTTAATATTTTTTTAAATTCTACGCTTACCAGAAAACAGTTAAGTGTTTTTAGCAGTGTTTTAGCTTCTACTACAAGTGTTTATCGCTTTTTTAGTATATTATTGAGAGAGAGCATAGAGGGCGCAAGGTTGTCAACATCGGCTCTGTGCTATTTTAATTTAAAAAATTCGAAATTTACGTATATAGACTTAAAATCGTGATAAAAGTGTTACATTGGATACAAATATTGTGTAAAAATGGTTGTGCCGAAATCTAATGGTGTTAAGTGACAATATTTGACTTTTAAAATAAACAGCATATATCTTTTCAAATAATAATATTTCCTAACAAAATATTTACTATAAACAATAAATGTGAAGTGCTTATTGAAGTAATTATCGAAAAATTATTAAACTTAAAGTGAATCTGTGCCTAATTTTAAATTGCAATATTTAACGGATCATAACATTGATTGTTGATTCATAATGTACGGTACCTTGTTTACATCAGACATACTCACGTAGCGACATCTCTTTAATACTTAGTGAACTTCTTGTGTCCACTACTGCGCATGCGACTCGTTTTTCCAATATAATTGTCTGAGTTAATTGAGAGAAAGTTTTCGCATTATCCGCTAGAGGTCACTATTTACAGTGTTATACAGAGTTTCTGTGAGAATCCCTTCTAGATGGCGCAAATGTCATCAAAAGAGAATGTTTCCAACAGAAATAAGCTCCTAGTGAAATGCCATATATGCAAAAAATATGTAGATTCAAGAGACACTATGCAATGTTCAATATGCAAGCACTCGTTCGAATTTGACTGTGAGGGCTATCCCGAAAAAGTCTATCGGATGATGAAGCCTACAATACGATGTAAATGGAAGTGCAAAAAGTGCAGAAATCACACAAGTTTTTCGGAACCTAACAGCGACATTTCCAAAAAAGTTAGTACTTGTATTTATGATACATCAAACTCTACTGTACTCTCTGAAAACATGGAACACATTACCGAAAGGAAAAAATATCACATAAATGTCACCACCGAAAACTCTTTTGCCTCTCTACCGGATGACGACGAAGGAACATCGCTATCAGCCACTTTGTTAAACCGGAGCTGCCCTAACTTAAATACAAATGTGTACCAGGAATTAGAAGAACATAAATTACAATTGACTGAAATGCAAAAACAACTCCAAATTACTGAAAATGAACTTGAAGAGTTACTGTCGGAAAACATAAAGCTAAAAGAAGAACTACAAACATGCAGAAGGAAAAACGCTAGTCTTATCAAGTTTGGAAATTCACCGACACCAAGTCATAAACATAAAAAAAAATTATAAAATATTAAATAGTACCCCTAACGCAAGTCCCGCTAAGGAGCAGCTAACAGAAACTTTAAAAAATAAAATTTCTTGTCTAGAGACTGAACTGGAAAAAACTTTAATAGAATTGAATTCTCTGCGAAACTATATTAAATTAATTAATGTAAAAGAGTTGTGTTCGCTACCAAATAATGTACCATTTAGTTCAATAAAATCAACGTTATCAGGAAACCTAGAACACTTACACATGTGTACACCCAATGTAGACCAGAGGAAGGAAGAGATGGAGACTATGGTTCCATTATCTTACACACCTAGTCCGAAAAACAAAGTATGTGTTCTTAGTTGTGATAACAACAATAATATATTATCACATATAAAAATCAAATTTCATAATTATAGTTTCTGCCATTATTGTAAGCCTGGTTCTGGGATAGAGGAGTTGTTGTCAAACATAGATTTAAAATTAAAAAAATTTACAATGAAAGATTACTGTGTTATACTTTTAGGAAGCAATGATTTCGAAAGATCAATTAATTGTCGCTTTTTAGTAAATTATATAAGAAAAATATTATATAAAATCTCACACACTAATGTTCTTATTTGTTTGCCAACATATAGGTATAAAAAGTATTCTAACTTATTAAACTGGAGGATTGAATCTTTCAATAATTTGCTTCACAAAGACAATGTAAAACACGAATACGCCTATGTCGTAGACTCAAACTTGCACCTTAGATACGATTTTACAATGTTTGATATGTACACGGGCAATGTGAATAACTATGGCACAAAAATAATATTTAACGATATCCTTGAAAACGTAGAGGCAATCAGACGCTGGAATGAAACATGTATTAAGGAGAAAATAATAAGCGTACGCGAATCATGCAACGAGCCAGTCCAACCAACCGCGAATAGTACGTCAAAACAAAAAAGGTACCATACCTTTTTACTTTCCACTTAAAAAGAAGAGTGACTTTTTTCGTGCCTCAGTTTAATAGGACCTCAAGTAAATATTTAAATATCCTACATCAAAACATAGCAAGTGCAACAGCTAAAAAAAGAAATTTTGGAAATTACTATATTAGAACTCGCGAAGAAAAATAACGAACCAGATATTATTTGTTTATCGGAGACGTTCATAGAAAAGGGAGCGGAAAATTTCTTTAAATTAAATAACTATACATTAGGGGCAAGTTTTTGTAGATTTGAAAAAAGAGGTGGAACTTGCATCCTAGTAAAAAAAAAATTTGCTTTTTCATAAAATATTGTTTTTAAATGAATACGGTATAGAAAAACATTTTGAGTGTTGCGGCATTGAAATTTCAGGAAATAACCTTATTATTATAAACCTATATAGAACCCCTAGAAGTGATGTTAATTATTTTTTGAACAAGTTAAATTGCCTGCTTAGTATCCTTTATAAAAAATATGGACATAAAAAAGAAAATTGTGTTGACAGGGGACTTCAATATAAACACGTTGAAATCTGGCAAATTTACAATTATGTTAAATGATATAGCACTAAATTATAACTTAACGATGCATATTAAAGAGCCTACCCGAAAATCGTCTTGTATTGATCACATGTTAAGTAATATTAAAACAGCAATACCAGTCATATTACCGCTTTGTTTATCAGATCACAACACTGCCCAAATGTTGAAAATACCGGTAAAATCTGTAAAACAAAACCCAAGATCCTATTTCGTTTATAAAAGAGATTACTGCTCTGAAAATGTAGAAAAATTTAATGGCTATCTTGGCTGTCTTACATTTAGTGATATTTTAGAAGAAACCAATACAAATAGAGCATTTGAAAAATTCCATGACTTATTTCTTCTATTCTACAATCTCTGTTTCCCGCAAATGAAAATAAAACTAAAAAACACATACAATAAAGCTAAATGGATAAGCAAAGGACTAAGGATTAGTTGTAAACGGAAAAGATTACTTAGATATAAACATTATATAAACAAAGACATCTTTAGTAAACGTATTTACACAAGTTATTCAAAAATTTTGAAAAAATGTATTTACACGTCAAAAAAAATTAGAAATACATATTTAATTAACACTAGCAGAAATAAATGCAAAGCCTCGTGGACAATTGTAAATAATGAAATAGGTAATAAAACAAAAAATATTAACATTATTAATATAAAAGATAACAATACAATTTTAACTGACTCAACCGATATAGCAAATAAATTTAACAACTTTTTTATTAACATGACCCACAACAATGACGCTAGTAATAAAATAACAAAAACTAATTCTACACAGCTCACGTCAATGTTTCTAAGAGAAATGTCAGAAAAAGAAGTCAGAAATGCAGTCATATCTCTTAAGAACTCAAATGCAACTGGTTACGATGGAATATGTACCAATATTATTAAAATTTCCATCGATAGTTTTATAAAAATACTTACACATCTTATAAACTCATCTTTTTCAACAGGTACTTTCCCAGAAAAGCTTAAAGTAACAATAATTAAACCATTGTATAAGAAAGGCGAAAAAGATGACCTCAATAATTACAGACCCATTGCATTAATATCAATTTTTTCCAAAATATTCGAAAAGTGTATGTTTTTGCGTCTTACTGAATACTGTAATAAGATTAGTATAATCAGTCCACACCAATTTGGTTTTCAGAAAAACAAATCTACTTCTTTGGCCACTTATACATTAATTAAATCTATCTTAGTAAGTGTAAATAGTTTATATCTAACCACTGTATTGTTTTTTGACCTAAGTAAAGCTTTCGACTACGTTGACCATAAAAATCTTCTTAAAAAATTGGAAAATATGGGCATTCGAGGGATTCCTTTGCAGTGGCTTGAGTCATATTTGACAAACAGAAGACAAAAAGTCGAAATCAAAAGCCTTAATAACCAGAATGAACTGACTTCTTATTATTCAGATTTTAGGAACAACTATTTTGGCGTCCCACAAGGAAGCATTCTTGGGCCTTTGCTTTTTATTTTATATATAAATGACATTCAAAATGTAACTAAATTCAAATGCACTTTGTTTGCGGACGATATTGCAATAACAATTAGTACTAACCCAAACAAACACTCATTCACAAAACATGAATCTGACATAAATGACGCTATAAAATCAGTAATAGAATGGTTAAATTTAAATAATTTGAAAGTAAATCTCAGCAAAACTCACTACATTAAATTTGACAACTTGAAAACTAATAAGCTTGACATATATCACAACGAAACCAAAATCGAAGAAATGACGCAAACAAAATTTCTTGGCTTAATAATTGACAGAAACCTTAACTGGGAGTCTCATATTAAATCAGTGTGTGATAGAATAAATAAATTTGTATATGCTTTAAGGTATATTAGAAAAGTCACGAACATAAATACTGCCCTGTCAGTGTATCACGCTTATGTAGTTTCTATTCTGCGTTACATGCTAATTATCTGGGGAAATGGTTCTCAGTTAAATAAAGCTTTTATTACTCAAAAAAAATGTTTACGTGCACTAACTCTAAAAGCGCCATTTGATTCATGTAGACCTTTATTCAAAAAAGCTTAAGTTATTGACATTGCCCTCGCTCTACATATACGAAATATGTTTGTTCGTCAAACAACACAACTATCTGTTTACTAAAGCAAAAAATATATCTTCTCGAAGCAACAGATACCCTGAAAAGCTTGTAATTGACACACTTCCTAGATTATCTAAATATAATAAAAGCTGTCTATACATGTGTGTCAAAATATATAATAAAATTCCTCAGCATATTAAAGCACTATCTTTCTCAAGATTTAGAAAAGGCCTCTATGATCTTCTTGTAGAAAGAACTTTTTATAGCGTCAAAGAATTCCTAGATTATAAATTTGACAAATGAACCACTACGATTTCACATTGACATTTTTATTTTGTTTAATAATAATTAACAATTATTTGACATTCTATCATATTTGGTAATAATTAATAATTGTCTGACATTACTATTATATTTACTAACAATTAATAATAATCTAATGAGTAATTATATATAAATTTTAATTTCTATGTACTTTCAATATTTTGTAATTAATAAATAACTTAATAATGAGCAAATGAATTAGCCACATAATTAAATTTGATATTTGTATACCTCTATATAAGGGGTGAAACATGTTTGGCCTAAAGTGTATGTAATTAACACCCGTATTTACCATGTTTGATGCAAATAAAAGTTATGAATCTATGAATCTATGAATCTAATTAGGTTTAGCCTAGTATGACTGCAGCTAAGGAATAAAACAGTTATCTACGCTTAACTGCCTCTTAGCTCAGAAAATGTGTTTAACTGCATTTTTTCTTAGTTTTATAACATCAAATATTAAATTTCAACAAAGAAAATAAACCGTTAAAATCTCTTAACGGTTATATAGCGTAACGGTGCATCGTAACTGATTTCTAGGGTATGACAGCAAATAAAATTTTGCACTTAACCTCCAAAATGCTTAATGTATCTTAGGAACTATCAGTCGTAAAAATATAATTCCAATATTGGTCGATAAAGAATATTTTGCTTAGTCTAGTGATGCTAAAAACTCAAAATCGACAAAATGCACTTAGCCGCCTTTTTCCGTATCCGGGCAGATTACACCATTGACTAGACCATATCGGTGAACAGTGTTTGGCTCCAATTCTCCAACTGCTATAATGAGTAAAATTGTTAACAAATTTAGAAATAAAATTGATATATTCTTCGATCCTCTTAACAATCAACACACAACATCATCAACAACTCTCCGTCGAACCTTATGAGACCGTCTTTTGTAATATTCTATAAAAAGTGTTCTTTCCTTTCGCTCCTATATAATTTTAGTACTGTATTTCATTATCATTTTTTAATCTTTCTTTATCCTAGAAATATAGGTACACAGTACTTATAGTTATTTGCATGTTGTATCCGCCTGTAATTATTTGTACATTGTAGTTCTTATCATTGTATTTAATTAGCACGTAAGGAATGATACAAATGTTGGTGAATC